GCTCGGGACTCGGCACGGCGGCAATCCGTACCGTGCCGGGCTCTGCAATGCCCGCCAGGGACTCAGCACGGCACCAGTCCGTACCTTACAGGGCTCTGCAATGCCCGCCAGGGACTCGGCACGGCACCAATCCGTACCGTGCCGGGCTCTGCAATGCCCGCCAGGCTGGGTGTTTGTCACTGATCCCGGGTGCGCTCAGGGCATGGCTGCTCACAGGCGGGCACAAAGGTCCAAACTCTTTCTGTTATTGCACTGTAAAAATCCTTACGCTGCTTGTTACAGTGCAGTGTTGTTTTATGTGCAGCCCCTTTCACTGTACAGCAGGCTTCCTTTTGTCTAAATTGCTGCCCTATGAGAAATAATCATTATCAGCAAGCAGCACAAATGTCCCACCAGACGTGTTTGCGTTGTGTTTGGCACGGCTTTTTGAGTGAAGAGCTGGCATCCCTCGCAGGAAACCTCGTTTGTGAGGTTTTTTTTCTTGTGCAACTTTCTTTGGACTTTCTTAAGATTAGAAAGTGGGGTAAAGTGCAGATGAATAAATTCAGCTGTTGAAGAAATCTTTCACTTTACATAATCTCATAAAATTCAAATTCTTACATAACATACTCTGTATATCTATATTATAGAGGTTTTACTTCATATTTGTCACTTCTCCTGCTCTCCTCTCCCCTTTTTACACTTTCTCAGTACTTCTCATTACTTCATCTTGGAACCCTTTGCATTTTCTGTACTTGGCACCTTCCCTGTATTCCTTTTGTGCCACAGTGCTCCACTCCTGCTGCTTTGGTACCAAAAGCTCTCTGGCTCCCTTAATAAATTCCCTGTGGTGGGTGTCTTTATCCTCTCTGCAGCAGCTCGTGTTTACATGCAGGCAGTACCCTCCAGTGCATGGTAAAGAATAATTTAACACAGAGCCCCTCAATGGGTGGGAGCTAAAAGGGTTAAATGCACATTTAACAGCAATGCTGTTCCCAGCCTGGAGCCTCCCCTGTCCAGGTGCAATCCCTCCAGACAGTAGGTAGGTTGAAACTAAAGGATGGAGATATCCTCATTTGAATGCAGGGGTAGATCCTCCCTGAGCAGAGCAGAAAGGCCTGGGGGGATTTCTCCTGCTCACACTCCTCAGCTGCCTTGCTGTGCATTTCCAGAGATGCCAATGTGTGGTTGGCCTTTGCAAAATGCTGCACTCTTACACGAGTCCTGCAACTCCTCAGCACCTCTCACCACTGGAAATCCACTTCCTTCTTCAATTACAGCCGCAGGCCAAAGTGCTTGAGCTAAGAATTGTTGTATTGCTGGGAAGACTGATGAAAAATAACTTAATGAAGTTTCTATCTGTATTGACTAACGTAAGGAAATGCCTCAATGACAAGTCAGTGGAAGAAGGTGGTAAAACAGGGATTTACAACATCTATTAGAGGCTACCACCAACCATTGTTAGATCATTCTGGATAGCAGTTTATGTGTCTTTAAGTGCTAGTTACTCATAAGGAGTTCTGTAACAAAGATCTGTTTCCTAGTGAATAAGATAAACAATTAATTAATTCTTTCCTTAATAAAAAAATAAATGCCTATTTTTCTCTCCAGAAGTCGAGAATCTTGTTTTCTTTGGAGTGAAACTATTCCTTTCACCTGTGTGATGGCATGAAAGAGTTTTCATCTGAGGCAAATGAAAAATATTCCACCGCCTTCCCACCAACCTCCAGTACCAGCTCTGTAAAGAACAAAAGGAATGAGGCTGGAGAGAAACCATCCTGAAAAGGTCAACCATTTCAACATGTCCAAAGCATTGAGGGGTTTCCAGTGAATTATATTCCTCAGGGAAAGGCAGAGGCATGGGTAGTTGTCTGGTTTTAAGCATCTCTGACATGCTTTGATTCTAAACACCACATCAGACAAAATGTGGTGAACTTTAACTTTTAGACTTTTGGTAAATAGATATTTATCTTAAAAATACTTCATCATTAGTATGAACAGCAACAGCCATCCCTCTCTCTTTCTTTCAGGAGAGATATTAGATTTCCTTTTATTTTCTCCTTGGGACAAAACTGAAGTTGTGACTTGAGCTGAGATCACCACAAAGAGCAACAGAAAGTCCAGCCTTGAGCTGAGCCAATTTCACCTCAGAGAAACTACACGAGGAAAGGCATCCACCAAATGATAAAAGCAAACAGCCCCTGTGAGCACATCATTCCATGGGTCTCATGAAGTGCTTTACTTGAACTTATAATACTCTTGAAATCAGCTTTTGGCCCAACATAGCTCACATAAATTTCAGTCAGGCTTGCAGCTTTCCACCCAAAATTAACATGGCTGTTGTTGCCTGTCAAAGAGATGTCAAAGGCAGTGTGAATCTGCCTTTCAAGTCTGAGTCATTGTGACAGGCCACACAAAGTCACTGCTTCTGGTTCTGAGGACAAAGACCTTTAGTTCTGAGGACAAAGACCTTGCATGTTTTCCATCTAGCCCAAACCCTTCTGATACATTTGTGTGGTGACACAACCTTGGGGAAAATATGGTTGTGTGGGCAGCAGCCCTTTGCAATTCTAACTCTTAAAAACTAATTCTGTCATAAGAAATAAATCCTTTGTGGAGAAGGCTGATTGAACCTTAATTTGCAGAGGTTAATGCAGATGCACAATCCAGCATCCAAGCAGGGGTTTGTGGTGCTAGTGTGGGCAGTTCTGCTGGGCAAGCTGTGCCAGAACAATTGGGTTTGGTTGGTGCCTGGACACCGTGGCGCTGATGAAGCTGCACTTTCACCTATGGTAGAACTTCAGAACTTCAAAACCTCATATTTAAGCAATAAGGTAATTTTTAGTCCCATATCTGTATTTCAAAAGTGCAGGCTTACAGACAGTCTGAAAGCTGTCATCTCACTGATCATTGAAGTCAGACTCTGGTTCATGTAATGAACATGTGCCAAAAAGGAAGAACCTGCTCTTACACTTGCTGCCACTACAAAGTTTTATCAGACAAGGATGACACAAGGGGACATTTTTAACCGTTCAGGTGCAACCTGAGTCAGTGGCAGAGTAACAGATCCACTCCGCTGTTATCCAGAGATCTCATGTTCCCAACCTTCTCCTTACCTCATGTAACACACCACTATAAGTAAGAAATTTAAGGTACCCAGCAACCTAATGCCGTGGCAGAGGGAGAGGATGAAATGATTAAAAAAACAGCAGGTTAAGATTTGAACAGGAAATCTTACCAGGTTATGCAAATGCTACATGAAATTTTAATTTAAAACTCATAACGATGCTGATTTCCAGGTAAGAAAAAGGCTTAATGAAGCTTGACTAATTAATTTTAGAGGTGAACCTCTGCTACATTCTGCAGTGCAAAAGCTGAGGAGAACAGGTGGGGCTTGTTACAGCATAAATTCTACTGTTACTTTTCAGAACATCCTGAAAACTTAAAAGCAAGCTTGCCATGTGCACATTACTGAAACAACCAGTGTATATTGCCCTGCCCAGATTCCTTCCCAGCACAATTCATCTGAACCTCACTCAGCTGCAGGACAACCCAGATCCATAAAAAAGAGTTTTAGTCCCTGAATACTTCTGCATGTGTTCCTGGCAGGAGACAAGGAGTGCTGGGCACCATTCCTGCCACTGGAAATTCAGCTCCTCACCTCCCTGTTACTCAGTGTCATGCTAACAATTCTGCACAGCCACACAGCACTTGCAGACCTGGCATGTCCTGGTGTTCCCCCCAGCCCCATTCTGATGCACACACACACACACACACACACTCAAATCAAGGCCTCCTAACTTTATTTCAACTAAACATTCTTTAAAAAAAATATTTAAAAATTTAAAAATCAATGTTGGCCACACCTAACAACATGTGAATATGCAGAGATCAAAACACAAAGGTCTGTAGAAGTTCTTGGAAGCAGAAAAAAGCAAACCCTACAAATCAGTAATATTTTCAGACTGTTGACATTTTATTTTCAATACATGCTCATCTGAGAGCTTCAGGTTTCTGTTTTCAAAGGTGCTTATTAACCAGTGATCATTTTACACTGAACCACATATTATTGGGATTTTTTTAAATATAAATGAAAAAGTGTATGTTTTCTGTTATTTGTAATTTATTTTTAATTAAATGTGTTTTAACAGAAACAATGGCTTTTTTTAATGCAGAGGGAAAAAAAACCCAAAACAAAACCCCCACGTGCTTAGAAAAGAACAGTGTCTCTCCCAGACAGCTTTCCTCTAATTAAAACAGGCCAAGCAACTCTGAAGAGTGCTGTGTCTGCTTATGCCACTAGATATTTTGTCTGTATAAAAATAGTACAATAATCAACTCTATGAATTGCTGCAGCCTCCAGGAGAAGAAAACCCACCAGTAAATATTCTGAAGGGTGTTCAAAAGCTGAATGATGTGTTTGAAAACCTCTGTCATTTGCAGGTAACTGCTGAATGGAGAATATGGTTGGTCAATAGGTATTTCTTTTATGTTCTTCAGTAAAAGATGGATTTGGTTTTTCCACTATAAAGTTTTTACATTCTTTGCTCTGTTATCAATGCTTTACACTCCCACTATTTTTATGAGCTATAACTAACATCACAAAAGTACTGATACTGTTTCACACTGAGATATGGCCATGTCACTTTATTCTCTAATGAGATTTTATCCTGGAGCATACAGCTGGGCACATAAAAGGAGCTTAGGAAAAGGAACCAGCCCAACTTCAATCGTGCCATGGAAGGCCTTAAACTGGAACAAAATTAAAAGCAGCATTTCAGTTTAGGAGAATGCCTCCCCCTGAGCTAAGGAAGCAGAGACACATCCTCCTCCCTCCTCCAAAGATCCAGCCTGTTTCTGTGGGCTATGCTCTGTCCTTATCCAAACAGTTTGTCTTATAAATAAATAAAAACACCAAACCTCTCCCTTCCCAAGGCTTTATCTAATGTTTCATTGCACTTGAAAGGAAAAGCTTCAAAGTGCAGCAGGAAAGACAAATATATTTCATTCAGGAGTGAATTAATTTTCGTGCAGGGCAGGGGAAGGAAGGGTGCAATTTTACACCATTCTCAAGTAACATGGAGAGGGTCTCACCCCCAGCAGTGTCAGAACTGAATCACCTTGTTCAGCAACATCCTGCTCACACCATCACAAAACAGGATGTAAACTACCCCCAAGTGCAACTGGTGGTCCTGTTTCAGGAAATTATATAAATTAGCATTATTTTAGCATGCTATAAATCAATCTTGAACATGATTACCATAACTTTAGGAATAAAAAAGGCTTTCACTTTTTTTTTTTCCCCCTGTCTTGGACATATTTTGTTCAGTTATGGCCACAATGTTTAGACCTGTAGAAAAGAATTTGATTTGTGCAACCACAAAAGTAAGCAATATTTTCTCAGTAGCAGAGGTGTCATATGGGGAGTTTTACAGAAGATGGTCAGAAGGACACAAAAATCACCTATTCCTGTTTTTAAACCCCATTTTGTACTTGATTCCTGAGTTATGAAACCAATTGAATTACACTGAAATCCAACTCTACTCCTTCCATTAAGATTCTCTCTGTGAAATTCTGTTCTTGGCAAATTTAATGTCTTACCTAGCCACAGCATGAGCAACAGCAAAAGCTGCTTTTAGATCTGGAATCATGAGTTTACTCCTCTGAATCCAAATAAATGCTTCCCTACTGCTCTGTTCAATCCACACTCTCCTTGGAGCCTTCAGAGGCTCTAAGCAGTCACCATGCTGTGCCCTAGTGCCAGCAGACTTTGCTCCACTGGATATAAAGTGAGGAAAATAAATTGTTATTGAAGTTATTTTCACCCATAAAAGTTGCCAGTAGCAAAGTGCTGCCATATTTTGAAGAGTCCACCTCAAACTATTAATATATATACACTCAAGGAAAACACCTTTACATCTTTTCTAACATCTGAAAAGTCTCATGCAATTTTTTAACAAAATCTGTGCCATGCAATTGTTTAATTAACAATTTTACCAGTTTACAGCTGACAACAGCCTTGCCTTTGACAGTTGTCCACACTGCTGTGCAATAGTGAACAGGAAGATAAAAAGATGCATTTATAAGGGGATCTTAAGGTGTTTAATAAATTAAAGAACTTGTGAATATTGCCTTGTTGGACAGAACAGCAACCTTGAAATCCAAGTTTCAGCACTGAACACAAGACTAAATAAATACAGGAATTCAGCCTGAGTATACAGATCTCAGAATTGTTTAATGACATTATCACACCATTCTTCCCCCAAATGAAGTTTTGGGATTCCAGGTTGTTGTTTGGTTTTGGATTTTGTTTGGGGTTTTTTTAGTTGGAGTGAGGTTTGGGGTTTTGGGGTTTTTTTTTTTTCCATTTGTCCACCCTTTTCTGGTTCAAAAGATGAAACTTGCAAAAGATGAGTTTGAATCAGCATTACACGAATATGCTGTTTCCTACAGGTTCACCACTTCATTTACTAGAAAAAAATTATACAGTGCATGAGAAATGGTTTTAAAGAAAAGCTGCAGAAGTCTGATGATGTAAATCATTGCAAGCAGCTGTGAAGAGGTGGATTTTGAACCTGCCTTTATCAGAAATCCACCACAATGGTCTCTGATTTAATAGTTAGGCACTGATATTATTTTTCCTCATTTTCTGGACTCGGAATTTGAAACCACAAGGACTTATTTACCAATGCACTGGGTACTTGCAGCCGCAATTGAAGGTAATAGGAGTTGCAGTCTGATCACATTAATTGATACATAATGCTGAGTGCTCTGAACAAAAAATCTTAGGCACTCAATATTGGACAGAAGCATAAAAGGACACATTAATTCTTTTCCCTGTGACTCACTTTCCTTCCTATAAAACAGTAATAATTTTTAATGTCTAGGGGTCATGTTGCAGTGAATGGCATAAGAGTGTCCATTAGGAAATTAGGCAACCTGCCTTCAGGAAGAGCTTTCACTGTCATGAGTACCTTGTGGCACAGAGCCACACTGGGGCATGGTGAGCAAACAGAATATTAAATAGCTGCTCTCCACCTGCATCTGGCCAGCCCATGAACACAAATAAGCCAGAACCACTAGAACAAAAACATATTAATAATCATATAATTTAAAATTAGATTATCTAATTTTAGACCAATAATTAGAAGATAATTAGACCAATAATTAAGATATTAAATAATAAATAATTTAAAATAATTAGGGATGCAGAAGTAATCCCATTGGCATTTTAAATTTTGAATGCTTAGGTTACTTGCTATTTTTGTATCCCAAAAGTCAGAGGCACAAATTCCATCTCATGCCATTACTGGCAACCCTGTGATACATCACTGTAAAGTATACTAGCTTCCAGAACCATCCAGGACTCCCACTGCTGAGAAACCAGCTCATACAAAAGCAGCCACTTCCAGACCCACTGTCCAAGGCTCATCCTTCCCCTGATGGGTGGTAGCAGCAAAGAAAGGACGATGCTGTCCTGTGGCACACTCCAGTCTAGTTAATACTGAGTGCTGGATCCACCAGCTCAGGCACTGAACAGGACAGAGCCTAAGCTGTCCCTGTCCCTTGGGACTGCTCTTTCTCAGTTAGAAACTCCAGTGAGAATGCCTCCACTGCTATGCTAACTTGGAGAAGAGAAAAGCTCCAACAACCTCCATGTTATTTTGAGAGTCCCAATAATGCAAGAAACAGAAAGACTCTGAGTACATCCATTTAACAGCCCAAATAAAGTACATAAAGTGGTCCTTAGAAAATGACAAAAGCGATGTTCAGTAATTTTGATATTTTATGACTTCTGGTGACCCTGGTATTTTGCTCAAAGTTGTTTCTGAATTTTTGAAAAGTCATTAAGGTCTCTGTTAACAGCTTCCCCAAACTGAAGGCTGAAGATTCACACATCCACTACAGTGACAAAACACTAAGATTTGGCAGTCTAACTGTTTTTAAAAACCCTTTTTACAAGCAATGCAATCCTGCCATAGATCACTCTAAGCCAAGTAAGAGACCTTATGGACACAGTGGCCTTTGATGTAAAAGACCAGGTTTTGCAAAGTTCTCACTGGAAGCAAGTTCCATATCTCCAGGAGAAGTTGATTAATATTGCTCTGTAATCACAGCCTACATCTCAGGAGCACAGGAATCAGAACTTGGATCCAACCAACTTGAGAACATCTAAATGAAATGTATTCATAATGCAGATTTTTAAAATTAATGTGCATGACAAGTTAAGACCTTTCCTGCCCTTGTATTTTCAAGATGATAATCAGCATCTTATTTTTCTATGTCTGTTCTTATTGAGTGCATACCACCAGTGTTGGCAGGTCACATAATCTATTTCTTCTACATCAAAAGTAGAAGTAATGTTGCATGTCAACATCCAGGACAGGAAAAAATAAGCCTAGAGAGACATACTTTTTGGAAATAAAATCACTTTAATCATCCCCAGGTGGGTAAGACTCCTCATTTCATTTTCCCCCAAATGCATATTACTAGAATTAGTATTAATCTCAATAAAACAACATTATTTCTGTTAATCCACCAGAGAGCATGACATTTTAAAATATCTTGTAATTTATTATACACAGCATAATACAATTTTATAACATTTTTATTGTTTTTGAGACCTTATAGGATTTTCCTTACCAAAATGTGATATAATTCTTCCCATAGCTCAGTTGTCTCTTTATAATGCTGCAGTACATGATAAAGAAAATACTTTATAGCTGGAGATAAACTTACTGTGTCTGGCTTTCCATTTTAATAAAATTTACAACAGCATTTGGAGAAACTGCAGTACCAGATTTCACTGACTGAAAAAAGCCCACATTGGTAGCTAAGATTTACTTTACACCTGTTTTGGCATTTTGTATAACAGTCATGGAAGCAAGCTGTCAGGACAAGGTCTGTGAAGGATTTTAGGACTGGTTTAATTTAGATTCAGGGGTTCAGATGCAAATGGGATGGCTGCTAACACTGGAAAGTGTCAGAGCACATGGGTTGCCCAGATTTTTTTTGCATGACACTAAATGCAACATCTACCTACAAACACAGGGTTCCTCCATTTTATTAATCTGAAATTAAGTTATCTTTTGCAGTTAAAGTAGATTTGCATATCTTTGGAGCTGGGATAGAGGGAGATTTTATTATATTGGACTAATCCTCTCCTTTAATTCCCTTAATGAACTATCACTGCAGAAGCAGATGCCACGGGAGAAATGGCCAGAACCACTGAACTTTGTCCAGGATGGCATTTACATCCTTCCTGATATAAATAAAAATTTTTTGCAAGTTTTCATGAGAAGGAAAAAACAAATCTGACTGTTGGGTGAAGTTATGACCAATGAGAGGCAACAGGGTCAGAATTTGAGTGGGAGGAAGGAGGGACAGTGCTCATAGCTCAGACGTAGCCTTTGTATTCTTGGACAATTTGCTTTGCAATTTAACATTTCTGTATCTTTTTCTGATAAGAATAAATAAAACTGCACATTGCTGTGGTAAAAATCTTAGTTTAATATAATAGCAACCAGTAAATAGTTTCCCTTTTGGAAACACCAAGGCCATCACACTCTCCTCCTGTGAACCCTGCAGTTTGCTGCTGTTGCTGCAGTGTGCCAAGGGCTGTAACATTGGTAAGGTTTCAGCTGGGACTAAAGGCCTTGGAATCATTAATAGATGTTGGGGTGATAAAAATGACAATCAGAAATTACCATGTTACAGCTTCAAGAGCATTTCCTTCCTTCCTTCCCCTGGTTGCTATTTTTAAATCCCACAAAGTGAAGCATCAGGAATTCCTCCAAGGTGACAGCAGCTCTGTGCTAGAAGGGTAAAGGCACCAGGCCACTGACTGGCACAGTTCAACAGAGCAGCATCAGGGCTGGGTAAAGAGCTGACAGATTGCTGTTTAATTCTGTTTTCACAAACAGAAATGG